ATGACGTCAGCTTAAGGTACAATCTGAAATACCTTTAGGGAACTGGATCTGGGATTTACCATGCGTGATTCCCACGAATTATAGTGCGTTTGCCACTAAAATAATATAATTAACATTCTTTCTCTTGCCGCCGCAAAACGATGTTGATTTTCTCAATTAAAGCCGTATAACATTATCGTTTATTTCCTGCTCTTTAAAATGTAAAATATAAGTATGTTATACTTTTTACGTATAATATAAAATATAAAATGCAAGATAATTATATACGTATATTATATACATTATATATAAATTAATTATATAATTATATACGTGAGATATGTTGCTCTCATGCGATTCTTTTACTCGTGAGAAAAAAAACTCGCTTTAGATTAAAGATCAGACAAAAATTTGAACATTTTGTATTTTCGAACTATTCGATAGTTCGAACATAAGCAATGGTCGATCTATATATGATAGTAATTCACAATTTCTGCAAACTTATATAGTTTAAAAATTGGAGTAAAAGTAATACGCATTTCAAACAGAAAATAAACAACTTTTTCAACGTCTTTATGCAATATTTATTTATTTTTTGTAAAATTTATTTGTAAAATATTTAAAAAAAAAGATTAAAGATAATTTTAATAGATTCTCTAATAGAAATGTAACGGAATGTACAGTGGCGTGCAAAAGTTTCCAGTCAGTGACATTTTGTACTCTAATTTATAAAAAAAAAAAAAGCCTAATAACATTTCATTAGACTTTCTAATGGCCGGAAACTTTTGCACGCCACTGTATATCGTATGCAAAAAAGATATATCAAATATGTTCGCCTGCAATGGCATTGAGCAGATACGTATAAACGATGTATAATAATGAGAATTCACCATGCACCGAAATGAAATAAATATGTATTAGAAATATGTATCAAAAATGAAATAAATATGTATTAGAAATGAAATAAATATGTATCAACAATAAAATAAATATGTATGTATATGCTCGAAAGTGTATTCGAACTATTTATAGATAACCGTTTGAATATTAGATAACTAAAAAAATTCTTGCCATTTCTTGTTAAGTAGTCATAGTTCTCGGAATACTTATGTCAGTTATAACTAGTTGTGCTAAGAATTTTGTTTCACTGTAAAAAATATACCTCACTTCAGTTACGGCATTTCAAGTTGTAAAGTCAAATTAAAAAAATATTTCAACTCTTTAAAATGTCTGTTTGAGTGAGTATGATTCGTGCTTATTTATTGTATGAATTTAAACTTGGATCTAAAACGCCAAAAGCTTCTCGAAAAGTTCATTCTGCATTTAAAGAAGATGCAGTAAAGGAAAGAATCGCTCGGTATTGATTTCAAAAATTTGCGTCAGAGGATAAATCCTTGGAAGAATGCTTCCCCGTCAGAGAGACCGATATCTCTGAATAATGACGAATAAAAAGCAACAACTGAGACAAATTCGAAATTAAACGTGCGACTGCATTTGCATTTAATGTAAATAATGTTTTCTTGTTTTGTTATTTTAATGCTGGTTAACATATGAATATAAATATCTTACACAAGAAGTGACGCTGAGTCATATTCATTGACATAATTACATTTTTTAATTTGTGTGAAAATGGAAGTCGATAAAACACATATTCGATCTTATTCGGCTTTTCCTATTTAATCAGCGCAAAACAGCTGCTGAAACAACGAGAATAATTTGCAAAACGTATCATAAGGGAACGGTATTCCGAGAGTCCATGTAGCAATTAATTTCGACACTTTAAAAGTGGCGACTTTGACTTGAAAGACAAAGAGCGGCCAGGATTGGCGACCCGGAAAATTTTAATGGACCTGCAATGAGAAGTCTTGTCACACCGGCGTACTCCTCAGATATTGTTCCGTCAGGTTTACATCTGTTTTGATCTATGCAATGCAATCTTTTTGGCACACAATTTCGCAATGTTGTAGAAGTGCGACAATTCGTCGACGATTTTATTCTAAGAGATCTTTTTATCGCGGTATTCGTCTTTTGCCTGAAAGATGGCAAAAAGTAGTAGACAATGCTGAGAAAATATTTTAATAAAAAATATATCATTTACAAGATATTAAAAAGGAAAATTGCTTTAAAAACGACGGAAACTTTTGCATATATCCCTAATATATAATTTTATGTTGTGAAAAACCTTTGAAAAATCGGAACGCACACACAACACGTATGACTGATACATACTTATTTTGTGCAGATGTATTTTGATGTTTCCAATGTTTCTTATTTACACATTCACCGTCAAGCGTATTTCGACTTTTTGTTTACATCAATTGGATTATTTTACATTGAAAGAACAATAAGATATATATTTAAATTATAGTATTGAATAGCACAAATATCAAGTAAAAGAAAAGCTCAGTGTCGGCCATTGATGATCGTGGCGGTAAATGTGTTAAACAGCATGAAATTATAAATAGAATTATAGTAAAATAGATCGTCTATAAACCAAATTTAAATGCGACAATTTATTTTAATAATTGACAACATGAGAAAATGAGAGAAAATAAGCGGACAGCCGCAATTTTCGCTATGTGCGAATAAAGATGCGAATCTTTTCCTCTAAAATTTACGCAAGTTAAAAACGTAACGATCAGACGAAAACGAAGCAAATCACGATCGCCGTTTGACGTGTGCATGCACGCAAGGACAGCGAAATATTCTGTCCATCGAAAGGAAAAATACAAGAAACAGAAATAGGGTAAATGGATTTCGCGAAAGGCCTGACCGCATCGGAAGAAATCTGCGTCATAGTGAATCCCAGCGTCAAACAACCGGTTCTTATGTATTCACGTTGCTTTTCTTTTAATTCGCGAAGAAGCGCAAATACATGCTTATTTTATTTTGCGATATTCTGCGTGCCTTACTTTCAACCCTCCTCTTTGAATAATGTTGAATAATTACATATAGCCACTCGTGCCCTGATATTTTTCTTTCGCTCTTCCTTCTTTCTAGTAACTTCCTTTCCTTCATTTCGTACATTTAGATTCTCGAAATTGAGATCAATGTATGCAATGTTCGTACACGTTAGTATCTCGAACCCGAGATCGTGTACACTTTAATAAGTTCTCTAGTAGACAAAAATCAATTTTCTATATGAAAAATATTAACAATCCTCGCACTAACATCCAACGATTGCTCGAAGATGCCTTTCAATTAGTATTTATTTGATATATATCATACGAGCCAATTCCTTACATATTACTGATTTTAAAATTACATATAGCGTTTCGAATTATCCGTCCACAAATTCTTCGAACAATCTTGAAATCTTTTTTCCTCGACAGAAATGCCGATATTAAAACTGTGGAATATTAATTAACTAATCTTTGCCGGAAATGTATCTTGAAGCAGTTGAAACCAGTTTTTGTGCGTCTAGAACTGGCAGGCCTTCGAAGGAAACAATAAGGCACACTACAAAGTTACATAAAACTATTATATATGCGGAAAAAAAGAAGGAAACTATAACAGATAAGTCTAAGTAGACAAAGAAATATTGACATAAACTAACTTGCAAATATAAAATAGTATTCTATGATTAGCATAAGCACATTAGCACTTAAAATTACGAGATACGGAAAAATAATAAGGGAAATCTTATTGCGTTGTTTTTTCGCAACATTTTAAATAGACACTGACTTATCGAAATATTTAATGGAACTTAAAAATTGCAAGAAACATTTTTTTAATTATTAAAAAAATGTTCCTTGAGAATCAATTTTTTTCATATATGGGGAAGATATGTGTGATTAATACATAAAACAGGATTCCTACGACTGCTTTGCAGTCACACGTGTACAAGGCTGATTATTGTCACCCTCGATAATAAAAACGTAAATCATAGTCGACCTCGATGCTTTTTGTTCGCGCGTGCCTTTACAACTTATGTTAGGATAAAAAATATATGAATCAGGAAAACGCGATTTATTGCGATAAGTGTGATATATTTCCTGCATTCCTTGCAGAATCTCAAATAATCGCTACGTAATTAATCTACATTTTCTGATTACGATCACAATCATAACAAATGTGTTACTGCTCCGTTAAAACTTATAACTAGAAATCCATCGAACAGCGAAACTATATCCGCGTATCAATATCTCTTTATGAACAAGCTAAAAGGAAGATTAACTAGAATTTCGACAATTTCGTTAATAATAAAAAATCTATAAAATAAGAATAAAGATCTGTAAAATTTATGTTTGTTGAGTAGAAAATTTCTGTAACTGATGCTACTCGTTAAGCAAAAATTACGCAATCACCGAAAAATTCTCTTTCCGTCGATGATTATTTAAAAGAATATTTTTCATCAATATTAAGCCCAACATTCCCATGATACAAATTTCAATATAAATTTTTATATAATATAGTTCTATACGTATCATTGCGTTTTTGCAACTGAGAGTTCTGAACATTGTTCGACATTTTCTTCAGCAACTTCCTGTGTCGAGTCGTCACGATTAAAGTACGTAGTTCTTGTCGCAGAGGCACTTCTCTTGTGTGACCAGAAAACTGAAAATTGACTGACTCGACAACAAACAGCGAAATATTTGGTTTATATTTAAATTATATTTAAATTTAAATATATTTAAATTATATATTATTATATTTAAATTTGGTTATATTTAAATTTGGTTTAGACGATCTATTTTACTATAATTCTATTTATAATTTCATGCTATTTAACACATTTACCGCCACGATCATCAAACAGGAGCAGGACAAACAGGAGCAGGACAAACAGGAGCAGGATCAAACGTTTCTAACCGATGGAGCATACAGTACTGAGTATATAATATTAACAGGTTCGACTGATACATATAAGTAAGCTTATATATATCTTATCTTTTGGAAAACTTATTACGATGCATTGTACAAACGTTTAACATGATGTCTTCAGTTATTATTACAAGTTGATATTCAAATGATTATAATTATGAAAGAATTATGAGGCTCATAAGTTCGTTATTAATTATTCATATAAAAATAATTTTTAATATTTCGTATATATTTTAATAATTCGTGACATTTATATGTAACGTGATACATTAATAGTGCCATTAAAAGCAATTAAGTTTCGGAAAAATCACAATATTTCTGCTTATTAAAAAAGAATATAAATAATGTATAAAATTAATTGATTATAAAATTACACAAATGTATTTGCATTAAACAACACAACGTTGCGATTAATCTGGATAGAGATCTTGTGCTTAAATATTTCCATTCGGAAGTCGCAATTGTTGTCCTCGTTCGATTTTAGCTCGCAATGGTGTTTGATCAAAGAACAAAAATAAAGAATACCGTGAAATGCTGTTACGGTAGAACGATTTGAGTTTTGTCGTTGTATCAACTTTTTCTGCAACAAGTGCGGCCTTCTGCTATATGGGAGCACCCGAGAAATCGAACAAATTATATATCTCGCACGAACGATTACAGTCAATACGTATTCGCGATTAGCATACCAAAAAAATCGATTATTTTCACCGCGGGGAAATTTCACGCACGCGGAATCTCCTTGGATGACGTAAAGTTATTGAATGAGTATGCTGATTCCAAGATTTCTACAGCTATAATTTGATCTTCACGACTGGCGTACACAAGGCAGAGAAATTAAATTACAAAAAACAGTGATAGTCAGCAATAGATAGCAAATGCATAGATAACAACGTGACACCGAAGGTTGGCAAATTTATTAATGATTTCATGCGGGTCATCGCTCATTGGAGTTTGCAATCTTTAAGTTTTTAAATGTAGAGAAAGTATAGTTTCTAAAATTTGAAAACAAAAAATCTATAAAGGTCACACGTCTAAATCTATATTTTCGAAAATCTGAAACTAATATTTGCGGAATCTCTGCTAAAAAAAACTTTGCTTTTACAAATATACGAGTATTTATTTTTATTATTGAATTACCTTTGAAAACTCATCAGAACAATATTTTTCGGCAAGTAGTAAATCAAGTTGATCTAATTGTAAGTTGCAAGTTTAAAGGTCCTCGATATTAGAAGAATTCAGAATATTGAAAAAAATATTGAAAAAAATAGAACGAATTAACATTTGTCGTCGTACAAATGCTAAAAAAGATTAATCATTTCAAAAGATGGAATCATTTTAAACATTTATTCTCATAGGTATAAATATACATTTTATAATTCTATAATAATATATCAAAATTATATAAAGGCACAATTTATTTCAGTAATAATAAAAAAATTATATTAATAAGTTAATTAGAATCAAAAAGTTAATTAGATCTAAAACTAATTATTAGTTAATTAGATCAAAAACTAATTATTTTAATTATCAGAAACTAATGTTAATTTAGAATGTATAAAACTATGTATAAAATAATAACTTTTCATATTATAAAAAGACAAATATAATTTAAAAAAAACATACATTATATTTTGTATATAATTTTCAACAAATTGCATTATCTTTTTCTTAATTTGTAACATTAAGTAATTTAACAGTAAGCATTAAGTAATTTAACAGTCAGCATTTTTTGTCAAATTTAATATTAAATATTCTGATATCGTTTCTAAAGCCCTACGCACAATAAAGAAAATATTAGGAATAGAAGGATAAATATTAAATATTAGGAAGAACAATTTTTGGAATTATTTTACTTCAAACAAGGGAACGGAATGGATTAATTAATCCATTTCATTTTCTTGTTTTGAAATAAAATAATATCAATTTCCTACTTCTAATATTTAATCTTTATTCTTATTCCTAATATTTTCTCTATTGTGCGTAGGACCTAATTGTGTGTCACGTGTAGATTGACATCTGCTGTGACATGTATAATATTTACTTATAGTGTTTAATTACTAAAAAAAAAAGTTAATATGCGAAATAGTTATTATATTAATTAACACAAACAAATTTAGTGATATAACTTTGGTAGAAGATGTAAAGCAATATCTTAATGCTTTAAAAAGAAACAACTCAAAAATATGATCATAAAATAATTAAGATTTAAGTAAATAACATTAAATTTTCAATTATAAATTTTAATTCTTACTTTAATCTCATTATAGAGAATTACTTAAAAAATTATTTGACTTTCTGTTTCAAGATAAACTAGTACAATTAATTTTTGATTCTTTTGATTTAACATTATAAACTAAATCACATATCCACGATGCTTTTATTTATTATGAAGTTATCATAACCCAGTTATGAATTACTGTTTAGTTTATCATAAATATTTAGACATGTTTTATAAAGTTTTCCCTTCATTATTAAATATATATAAAACATTTGCTCCAAAACCAACTAAAAATAACTATCAAAATTAAACATATTATAAAATATGTCAGTTACAAACCTCTATGTAAGAAATGTTCAATAAAAACATGGAATCTTAATGCATTTATGCGTCGCTCGACGATATTACCTCGAATTTAACATCATTTTTATTCAACTGCTCGATCAAAGACGTCTTAGCGAATGCAGCGCCAGGAGAAAGTACTCCGCCGCTATAAAAATATAACATAAAAGAATAAAGCCAAGAATAAATACGTAAAAATAGTTATTTTTTAATTATTTATTACAGAAAGTTGCATTAGGCAGAGATAGCTGATAAATTACTTACTTGTCAGGCATTTTGTCAGCTTCCTTAAGGATTGTAATTGCCGATAACACCAATGCAATGGTAGTCATACCATATGCAGGATTAACAGCGCTAACTTTGGTAATTAATTTTTTATTAGGCGGATCTGTATGTTTATCAGTAGGTTCAGTCACTTTTTCGGACCAGCCGAGAGCTTTAAACGTCATGGAGAAGCGTGTCTTTTCCATCTTCTCCGGCTTCGGATCTTCAAAGGTCACGTAACCGCCCGAAAATATAGCTGGATACTGCAAATACCATATTTGATTATTTTATCTCGTCTCAGAGAAACGTAATTTTAACAAGTATTTTCACGCATACTTTCAGAAGTAAATTAATGCCCCAAGTTGTACGGGTCATGAGTCCAAAGATTGCACCAACGAAGATCAAGCTCACCAAAGTAAATAAAGACCTAGTGATAAGCACATGTTAATAAAAATTATTTTTCATACAATTACCACATTGCTATTGATATACTAACTGAAATGTGATGTAGGTCTGAACCTGCGCAGGTCTCTCTTTGTATTTCTCATACAAGAATCGCTGTGTATGAAGAGCGACGGAACGATCGGAGCCCAAAAATGGCATTGAATATCCTTCAGATACATCACTTTGATGCATTAAACCCCTGCAGTGGAAAAAATGTAGCATATATGATAATAGCCCAACTGTTTATCTCATAATACAATCGTTATCTTTATATTTTTATAAATTATTCTTGCAATAAAAAAAAATAAAAAATTATTATTAGTGTAATTTTTACTGCACTGCATATCTTTGTCTACTTGCATACTGCTTGCATAATTTTCAAATATTAAATATTTAATATATACACAAAATTGATAAATTATTATGGAATTGATAAATAAGTATGAATAATTGTGTGTAAAAAATATATACCTTGATTTCAATTTTGGTCTGAATTCAGGAAGTTTGGTAGGATACAATTTCGAACGCAATGTTCGTAATTCGCTCGAATGAGCCACACCGTACACCGCGGACTCCCAAGTTCCATAATTCAGGCCGGGTCCTCCGTCTTTGCTTCCTTTGAAACTTAAGTATGTTTCAATACTGTTGATCTCTCCTTCAAAATTCTGTTGTGCAAAAATGATTCCCAAATCAGCAGGAATGCTATCAAACCCACAAGCACTCACTATGTAAACACCAGCCTCTTGCGCTGCTTTGTGATATTCCAATCGTATCGTATCCATATACTGTAAGGTAACGAAAATGTCAGAGTATAACTGATTGGTCAACATAATAATTGTTCCGTAGCTATTCGTAATTAATTACCTGTGGTTCACCAGTGACATCGACTTGATGTGTACCAGTAGCGATGCACGCTTTAACGACTGGTTCTCCATAAAATCTGTATGGACCACAACAATTGACAATTACCTTTGCTTGTTCCGTCATTTTCTTGAGAGATTCCTCATCTTTTACATCAGCCAGAATAATAGGCACCTCTAAAAAGTTATATGCATAATATAAAAGTATCCACTAATAATACATGAAATAGTTTACTGTTTCACGGAATAATTGTTTCAAAATCGTAAATATATTAAGTTAAAATGGAGAAAATTAGAACAAACTTTATATTACCAATATCTGTTTTAAGTTCCTTAATAATAGTTTCTAAAGCTTCCTTCCTGCGACCAGCAATGCCAAACTTCATATTATGCTCCTTGCAGAAACGTTCTGTTGCCTTTACTGCATATTTTCCTGTATATCCAGTGGCACCAAATACCACTATATCCAAACGATTGTTTGCCATTTTGCAGTAATCTATAATTAAATAGTTATTGTAATAAAACTGTTATCAAATAGATTATAAATAAATTTTCTTATAACTTTTTAATTTTCTTTTAAGAAAGAAAAAGAGGAATCCTTTACTAATATAAAATCTTATAAAACATTTAAACAATATCTATTAATATGTCTGTATTAGATGATTCATCAATGACAATGACAATTGAAAAATCAAATTAGTATTCAATATAATATGTTACAAATAAATTAAGAGATCAGAATTAACAACCAAATTATTCTATATTCTCATAATTCGTATAATGTAATGCTATATACAATGGAAAATTATAAATTATAATTACTACAAATTGGATTTTACTTTCTGTCGGACTTCGTCAAGAACTTTGCACTCTGCGGTAATTTGTTCTTCGTCGGTTCTCGACGATCGCTGTCAAATAATTGATAGTAATTCGTGGTAATACGTCACTTGTCCCACAATGCCGACAATTTGGATATAAGTAAATATGAAAATATATAAGCGTTATACCTCGTTAGAAACATACTTACTGAATTTAAATAAACTCAACCAGTCCGTCCGATTACAGCGAGCTATCAGCCGTAAATCCTTCCTGCTTCGAAAAAAGTTATTACGCAGCACGATATCCACGGAAACAGCCACATACACAGCACACGTGAAACGCCTCAATTATGCATCGACAGACATTGAGTATCGATGACTATATCGACTAGCGTCGATTGTCGACAAAAATGGCATCATTATATGCCAACGATACCAACGCTGCTGGAAATCTCATGCTGGAGAGGGGCGTGTCTATTTCTAGCAATGTATACATTACATTGCTAGCTCTGTTTCTGCGTTTCAGTAGAATTACTGATTCCTTAAATGCGATATATTATGCAAGCTCCACTTTGTTGCAAAATGTTTTATATTTGGTCTAGAAATATATTCTTTAGAATATTTAAATAAAAATATTTTAGCGCATTATTTGACAAATTTTAAAAATAATAAAATAGTTTTAAGAAGCATATATATCCGATTCTAGAACACTCTTACAATATATAACAGAAATTTTACTTCAGTCTGCTTTTAAACAGAAAAAATGTTTATGACAATCAAGATACTCATAATAAAAAATGTAGTTTAAAATAAAATGGATGTGTAAAAACAAATTATAAAAATTATTTAAGAGAAGTTTAATCATTAAGATTGTCATTAATGCAAATAAAAATCAGGCTGAATTTAATTCAAATTATAAAATTATGAAGGATAATAATGATAGCTTTTATGGTACAAATGACGCACAAAACTACCATGAAAAACTTTTCTGCAGATATATTTTCAGAAACGCTAAATAATCTACAATATAGATAAAATACGTTATCATAATCGCTTTACATAATGTAATATGTTGTTTTACGTGTACCTAATATATGCACGATATTAAACTATTTCGCTATATTATTTATTTTGTTCTCCGGTTGAATATTTACAGCATGTCTTCCCCTTTCAACTCTTCTTTCATTTTATAACTGATATTGTAGTCGCTGTTTCTTATAATAGATACTCATCAGTAATAAATTATAAAACAGCTTTTTTTTATAGATGTATCTCGCAAATAAAAATCTCTAAGCTAACAGAGTTCTATTACGATTCGATTTTTAGCGTCTTTCTATTCTCGAGCGAAATTATTCAAAAACGCAAAATATATGAATTAGTGCTTATTCTTTGAATCTGCGAACATTGCTTCACTTATTCATGCAATATATGCTACTATTTACACAAATGCACATGAAGATTGCAAAAATCGGTTTGACAGGCGTAAAATATATATAAAACGATTTACTTTATACATGCAGTTTACATGCAATTTCGAATTGAGTAAAATAACGTACATTTTCAATATTATGAAAAATCAGCAGTTGACATAATCACAAGTTAATGTCACTCTTCCTTCTTGAGAATAAGAATGATAATTACGACGAGAGCTCTTTCATAAACTTTCATATTTTTTTATTAAGAATATAAAAATGTTCATTATTAATTGGAATAAAGTGATTAATAACATCTACGATTAATCGGTCCAAATTACTGAAATTCTTTCGATTAAAAAATATTAATATTCCTTCGAAAGAGTTTCTCGATTACAGATAATCTAAAATCCCTCCCCCTTTTTATCCTTTCATTTGCTTATTCCTTTAGATTGAAACAAGTTGAGGTAGCAAACCTCCTACCGTACTCTATGTTAAATAAAGAAAGCGCAATGCCATATCGGTGATCCAACAGTTCGATACGAACGGAGTATAATTGTCGATCTTACACGCTAATATTTACAAGTATGTCACATTGTAAATTTTACGATACAAAACTATGGTACCGTAAAATAATGAACGCAAAAATAGTATATTCGTACCTATTTTCATTCTCTTTAAATCACAAATGTCAGAAGACTATGAAAAAAAAAAAGATGCGGTCTCGTACTTTTTCTTTGATTTGCATATAGTTTTATGATTACTGAATATAATTGTCAATCATTTCTGCTGCCGAAATTTTATTAGCAAATATAATCGATCAAGCACACATTGCTGATTTCGGTCGGACAGTTCTATATACTTGCATCTCTGGAACATGATATTTCTTTCACGTCTCAATGTTTTTTCCTTCTTTTTTTTATAGAAAATTTATGCGACAACATTAATACACATTTTGTACAATTTCACGGACACTGTGCTATAACGCAACATGTCCATGTCTACTGCGTTCAGACCGGTATTCTGTTAGTATGGATAATTTGTGAACTCTCTCAGGTAATTCTCAAATAACACAGGTATGATCATGTAAATATTATCGTCGAGAATTCGAGGCAATTATGTGCGCGAGCTATCTAAACAAAATATACACGTGTATAAGTATCGAAAATGCAAGATGGCGCATAGCGCGGAAGCAATTTACTTTCGTTACACAACGAAAAGTATGAGGATACGGCACAATCGACGTCACAATTGACGAATACTCCATTTTGATAGGATTCTGAAGGATTCTAGCAACGATATGCGACGTTTTCGCTTTCAACAGTTTACTCCAAGAGGTAGTTACACACAACTCTAACAAGTATCAAGATTTTTTTTTAAACACCGATTTATATAGAGTCGACAACGATGCTAAAGATAACGGCATAGACCGTTTTGCGGAGCGAAAGTGTTTAAACAATTCGGAGACGTCAATTGAACCACATCCACGCGACATTAAAAACCGTACATATTTATAAAGTTACACATTGCCGTTAAATAAATATGAATCAAATTACATTATGATAAAATCGAATTCAAATATGGCGAGACGGAACGATTTTATCAACAAAAAGGGATGTTATTCGTAAAATTCATATGTGATTGCAAATAGAATTCGGCACAATTTAGACAAGTTAGGTTAGGTTTTTCCACATTGTAATTTATCTTAGAGACGCACAGCTAGCGCTATCACAAACGCTCTCACTCGCGATAAAAACTATGTACAAGACGTTTCTCCTGTTATCTATCTGTGTGACCGTGTCACATCCGAGGAAAAACGATCCACTAGGAGTTAGCGTTTGGTGGCGGTGGTCTTCTATCGTAGTCCCGCCTGTAATCCTTGCTCGGCCGCCAATCGTTGGAGTAACCGTCTCCTGGATAACCTCGACCTCTGAAGTGACCTGGAGCGATATCCACGGAAGGATAACCACCGCCGCCGCTGCTACTACCGTAGCCTGGTCCGTATCCGTAATTGGATGGTCCCACCGTCGAGTACCGATAATAGTCACTAGAAAGCCATAAGGATTTCGATATAATAATCACTGAAAAGTTTAAATTTCTAAAAATCACATATAAGATTTAATAATTACTTATGTAAGATTTAATAAACACGAAAAAGTCATGTATAAAATTCAATGATTTTTAAAAAGCTACATAAAGATTATAATTATTAAAAAAACTATATATAGAAAATGGAATGAGACAAGACAATTATTGTAAACCAAGTCCCCTTCTTCGCTGAAAGCTGAAGTGAAATAAAATTCTATCTTATACAGAAGATGGAAATTTTTTAAATCGGATATATGTATATTTTAGATATCTAAATTTTATCAATTTAAAATAGGTCAATTTGACTCGTAGATGATAAATGAGACCGTCGCTACTCACCTTCTCTTATCATTCATATGCATACCACGATCTCGATCTCTGTCTCTGTCTCTATCTCTGTGATAACTGCCGGACATTCGGCTGTAAGGATCGAAGCGGTCGCGTTTGTGATCGCTGAATCTATTGGAAAAAGAAATTGTGACAGTTGTGAAGATGACAGCGTTCAAATTCGTATATGCAATGTTAAGAAACATGTGCAAAATCATAACTTCAACACAATGTCGTCAAATAGATTGCACAAGCAGCAAACAATAGAAATAACGACGAAATTTGTAACATTCAGATATATTTGTATGTAGTGAAACAAAATATATGAGCTTACCTGTCTCTCATGTCCCTTCCATCTCTTGACAACCAGTGATCGTCCTCCCTGCTGCCGCTATAATGCCCCATGTTGTATCCTCCGCCGTCTCTCCTAATCCTATCGTCCTTTCCTCCGCTTATTCTATCCATACCCCTGTCGTGTCCTCTGTCCCTGTCTCTATCCCTATCTCTATCGCGCTCTCTATCCCTTTTCATATCTTTGTGCTTCGACTCTTTTTGCTCTTTATGTCGCGACACGTCTATGCTGTTAGTGGCACTCGAGGTGGAATTTGACGTTATAGGAGTAATCGTAATAGCACCGATAGTAACCGCGGACGTGCTGCTGAGATTGCTGCTGACAGCAGAAATACTCGAGAGATGTTTCTTACTTTGTATACTGCTATTCGAGTTCTCCTCGATATCATCGACTTTACGCTTCCTGTCCTTATTAACGCTATCCGATGTCTGTTGCTTGTCGATATGTTTATCGTAGGATGATTTTTCACTGTGTTTCTGCCAAGTGAAACAAAATAAAATTAAGATTTACTGTATGAATTAAATATTTTTTTAATTCTATAAATAAAAAAAAATGTAATGCTACCTTCACAGCGTTGGAAGCATCTTCCTTTTTGTCAGGGCTGGATGTGGAACCGCCATTGCTGTCGCCACTCTGTTTCATTAAATTCTTGTACATTCTATAAAGCTTTTTTGCCTTGAAATTTGTGAATTTCGAGGCAAAATCCCAAAGATGACTTTTCCATTCTTCGATTTGATCGCGCTCTTTATATTCTTCAAGGCATGTTTGAACGTGATTTCCAATTTGAAAGAGGCATCGACGCGCACGAGCGACTCGCTCTTCCTCGCTCAAAGACATATCCGGTTTGTCCAAGGCTTTCAATGCCTTCTTTACTGGCCGCATCTTCTCCTTACACTGTATGACAAAATAATACGATATTATGAAAGTTTTTCTTCAGTTTTGCTTATTACGTATTTTATACCGTTTAGTAGATAAAATATCAAAATGTATTAAAAAATTATATTAACCTCGTCGAATATTTTAGGCTCCAATTCGCCTAGTACGTCCAAAGCCCTTGGTTCATTATTTGCAGTGAAGTGCATGGGACCCGCGGCTTGCTTGTTTTTCTTCGCCTTCTTATTCTCTTTCTTTTCTTTTTTAACTTTCTTATCCTTCTTCTTTTCATCGGACAGGTCATCGGCTTCTTCCTTGATCTCCTTTGCAGCAGTCTCTTCCTCTTTCTTCATCGCAGACTGCAGATTGCGAAACACATTTTACAAAAATTATAGAATAATTAAATTTATGAAATATAAAAGGCTCGTCTGAGACTCACTTTATCAGCCTTCGATTTTGATTTCTTATTTTCATCACCGGAACTGTCATTATCTTCTACAATCTCTTTAGTAATCGCTTCCTTGGGCTTTCTCGGCTTTCTCAATCGTGTCTGCAATAATTGATTAATCTACAGATACAAGTTTAGCAAGAATACAAGTTACATAGAAATACACACACTGATGGAAGGTCAAACAGAAATTATATATACTGTGAACGCAACTATCAACGGCAATGATGCAATTTTCATTGTGCATGGTCAAAAATTCCAACAACTTACATCGTCTTTTCTCGACTCTTTTCATATAATATTACGATACTCAAAGCTAAATTCCGTCCAAATGGTTCTTTTCACGTTCCACCAGTGTATTAATATTACAGTTTACAGTCCACAACACTTTCGTACGTTACGATTGTTTTGTCAAGGTATGGGAAGTGATGAATGGATGGGAAGGATCTGGATATTACCTTGCATTCGGTTTCTAATGGTAGGGGAGAGACATAATCCTGTTGAGACAAAAAGGGAACCGGTGAAAATGTATCTGTTAATACGACACACTGTAAAATAATCTTACCACTCCCAACTTAAGATCGATCTGTTTCTTCAAAATCTTCAGAAGATATTCCGCGCGTGCGTTCACACGTTTAAGTTGCACTTTACTACCGTTGGGAAAAATCTTATCTCCTAGTTCCAAACTAGCATCCATTTTTATCGCTTCCCACGAACCCATGCCATGCTGATATATGCCTTTTAACAATCTGGAATCATCCACGGAAGTCCATTCGCACTCGAAATTCGCCGGTTTCAACCTAAAGCATAAATTACAGTTGTAATTCCAACGCTTTGTTTCAATTTATTGCTGTGTCTTAATTAAGTCGATATTTTGTGAACAGAATGCAGCAGGAAGTTAATTTAAGAAAAATAACACTAAATGTAAAAAAGACTCGATAGAAATGTAAACGAAAAATTGAATTTACTCACTTAATGTCAAGATGCCAATTGGCGCGTTGCTCAGGATCGGATGGCAAAGCTTGATCCAAAGGCTCGAGTTCCTTAACTGCGGCTGAAAAGGACTTCGCGTTTACCATGACTCCGCCTATCTTAAAAGTGGGTCCCCGTCCTCTCTTGCGACCGGGACCCTTGCCTTCCTTCTCGGTGGTTTTATTATTCTCCTTCGCGATATTCTCGAACTCCACCAAGCTTGCGTCACATCGAGACTTCAGCTGTTCGACCAGGAAACGCAATTCTGACATTGGCTTCTCTTGCAAGTCCGCATCGGTCGCGATATCGTCCAATCGTTTCCAAGGCGCCGGGAACTTCTTGTAACTCTTGATAAACCTTCGGATCTGCGAAAGAAAATATTATCGTTAAAAAAAATGAGAAAATAAACGATTTTAAGTGCAAAGTGATATTCGTTTACACACCTCCATGTCTGTGAAACTCTTGATGTTCTCGCGTGGCGTGACTCTTGGTCTACCTCTCTTCTTGGGCCTTTCGTCGTCACTGCCTTCCGCCTCGCTTCCCGAATCTTCACCCTCGTCGCTGTCATCCTGCGTTCTTCTACGCTTTTTGCTTTTTCCTAAACAGGATTCACATTTACATTACGCATTCAAGAAAAAATGATGGCAGGTGTCCGTCAAAATACATACCGTCGCTCTGATTAATTTGCTGAAGAGTTTTCCGGCTACGCGGCGGTAGATAGAGATCCTCCATTTCCTTCGACTTCTCTTCTTCTTCCACTTTCTTTCGGAAGTTCTCCGGAATGATTTCCGCCTGAATAAATGTTAAGCAAAAATTACAATTTTTTACATACAAGAAAATTTGTAATTAATCTCACAATAGCATACTTGATGAACCATTTAAGACGATTATGCAAAAAAAGTTAAGATATTCACCCAGTCTTTGCTTTCATCGTCGTTGTCATTTGGTTGATTAGTGGACTCCAGGTCTTCGTCAAAGGCAGTTTTAAAACTGGCGACTTTAAATGCGGACAACAGTTCATCTCCCACCGTCGTTGGTGCTTCGTCTCTTGTTTCAGCTCTTCGAAGTATCTCGTCAATATCACACTAATTTCACAAAGACACATGTTTTCATTATAAGTTCATTAATAAATTAATGTTTGCTGTTCCTAATTAAATGGTCTCTCAACAAGATGTGTCGTTATACTCACAGGCGGTTCCTCGTCTCCGCCTTCTTCGTCTTTAAATAGATCTTCCGCGCCGAATTTCAAAATAGCAGTCAAATCCTCCTTGTTAAACGGATTACTATTGGTCCCCGCGTTTTTCTTATCTAATACTGTCCGCCCAGTTGTGTCCATTCGCTGTATCACCAAGTGGTCCAGGACCATTTTCTGCTTTGCGCGTTCCACGATCTCTTCCTCGACCGATTTTTTCGTAACCAGTCGGTAGATATTGACCTATGTACACATAAAAAGCGCGATGTAAATTTACAAGATTAAAGTTTTTAATCGGGAATTTATACAGGATTGAGCCAAGGGCGTACCTTATTCTTCTGTCCTATTCGGTGCGCCCTGGCTTGAGCTTGCAAATCATTTTGCGGATTCCAGTCCGAATCGAAAATTATCACAGTGTCCGCGGTGGCAAGATTAATGCCGAGCCCGCCGGCTCGCGTCGACAGCAGGAAGCAAAAGTCCTGCGATCCTTCGGCGTTGAAATGGTCCAACGCCTGTTTCCTCAGCTCTCCCTTTATGCTTCCGTCTAATCTTTGGAACGGGAAGTGCCTCTTTTGCAGGTATTCGCCGAGTATGTCCAACATCCGGACCATTTGGCTGAATATCAATACTCGATGCCCGGTGTCACGTAGTCTGACCAGTAATTTATCCAGGAGCACCAATTTGCCGGAACCGCGAATTATTTGCTGTAGATAATCCTCGTTGCTCCTTTCCTCGGCCTCGATGGGTTTCGTGAGGAAAGCGTGGTTGCAGCATTTCTTCAACTCGATCACGATGTTCAGAAACGATATGGTGGATCCCTTCACGCCTTTTCGCAACGCTTCGAAATTTTTGGTTAATATCCACTTGTAGTACTGCTTCTGCAAGGACGTCATCTCTACTCGCAGGATTTGCTCGACTTTGGCGGGCAGGGATTTCTCGACGTCCTTTTTGACTCTGCGCAGGATAAACGGTTCCAATTGCTTGTGCAGCTTGGAGTATCCTTTCTGCGCAGCATTGTCATGTTCCTTCTCGAATTCTTCCCACGAGGCAAATCTACGTGCAAAACAACACAGAAAGTGTAAGCACAAAGAAATAGGATATAAAAGGAACTACTTATATTTTTACGGACGTTTTATAAAAAGTGAAAAATAAATAAAAACTTACTTCGTAGGCATAATGAAGTGCAATAAGGCCCACAGCTCCTTCAAGCTGTTTTGCAATGGGGTACCAGTAATTAACAAACGATGATTGGTGTGAAACTCGGTAAGCGCTTTGTACAGAAGGGAATCATCATTTTTCAGTCGGTGAGCTTCGTCCACTAGCAGCACTGCCCAATTTAAGGCACCCAGAAATGCTTTGTCTTTAAGTACTATCTCATACGTTGTAAGTATAGCGTTAAACTTTAGTCTTTTCGAATCTCGGTAGCACCATTCATATTCTCTAATCTAAAAATATATATAAAAAAAATTTACGTAATTTAGAGTGATTTAGAAGAGGATTAATATGTCAAAAGTGGCACAAAACAATACGTACAATATTACGGGAGCTGACGTCGCCTAAGTACGTGACGACGTTCATTTCAGGACCCCACAGAGATAGCTCTCTTTGCCAGGAAGTCATTGTCGACAGAGGAACTACTAATAAAAATGGCCCGTGAAGTTGTTGCGCGTGAAATAGATAGTAAAGGAAGCATATCGTTTGGATCGTTTTGCCGAGACCCATCTCGTCGGCTAATATAACACTGCAAGAAACATACATAATTGATTAAAACAAGTTAAATAAATATTAGGTGTCCAAAACTGTTCCTTATTACATACCTATTTTCCTTGCACCAGGAATGGATCATCCAATTGAGCCCGTCCATTTGATAATCTCTCAATATTAATTCTTTTTCCAAGCCCATGTAAGTTGGTTGCGCTTTTAATTGATGGAACTTGGGTCTAGATTTAAGGACTTTGCAATGTTTGCTCGGTGTCCTCTTGGAATCCTCCCTATCACGAAATTCCTTTATCTTCTCCGGCCATTTTTTCTCTATTAAAGCTCCATCTTCCCATGTGGCCTCAGCGTATGACAGATTCTCCCATTTACTGAAGTAATCGGGATGCTCTGAATCTGGTTTCTTAAAATCAGCTAAGAAAAACATATAACACATTGTTACAAATTATAAAACAGATTATAATAAAGAAAATTATTATCGTAAAAATTTGCAGATTACTGGGAAATTCTTGTTGTAATTCTTGTATGTGAACAGTTTATAGATTTATATTTATAATCGCGGTAAAACATTGCTGTTTACAAAATAAAGATGTCAATCATACATATCGAAATGCCATACCAATAATCCTCTCGACATTGTTGTAACTTTTCAAAAGCTCTTGCGTAAGTTCCAGTTGACTCTCTAGGAAATCTATATCCTCCGGCTCAGCGTATTCTCTCGCCTGCTCCCTTTTGCGCTCACGTTTAATAAAATTTTCTAACTTTTTCATTCCTTTCACCTAATAAATATACAAGACTTGTATTTGTACTACATTTTCTGAAGTTATTGAAGATTAACGAAGTCTACAAAAAATACTAATAATACAACACCTTCTGCGTTTTCAAAGACTCTTCCGACTCCCACGTGTTATGTATGTGAGACCAGCCTTTCCACTTTATCCAATACTGTAATTCAGTTTCTAAATTACTTAAATCCGCTGGATTAGGATCGCCATTTTCCTCGACAGCATAGATTGTCGTTATGTTGCCGGTAACTAGAAATAATTACATGAAAGATATATTTACGATTCTCTAGTCGACGTCTTGTTTAACAACGTTGTAACAACTCATTAAATAAACCAACCTCCTTTCTTGCCCACTCTTTGCCCCAAAACTTGTTCAATACTTTCCGCATTATCGGGTTCTGCGGACGGAGCATTCGATTCTTCAACCTCAACCAAATCATCGCTATCGGTACCTTCTTCACTTTCCTCTTTATAGCTAACTGTTGTGCCTGTTCGTCTGGTGACTTGCCTAATAATTAAATTTAAATCTCAGGATTTGCTTATATACTCTTATGCATTTTCTGTTTCTCTTACACAACTTTTCCGAACACATACCTCCTATTGTCATCGCTATCAAAGGAAGAATTTTCAGAAGATTCAGAGATACGTTTCTTCCGTATCGCTCTAGCTTTCTCTTTCGTCTTCTGCGCCGCACGTCTGTTCTGAGATTTAGTAGGTGGAGACTTTCGATTTTCAGTTTCTTCAGATTCTGAATCTGAACTCTCTGAATTCCACGAATTGTGTGAACTAAAAGATAGAATATCTCGTAAATATAAAACCGTGTCGAATATATAAATTTAATTCGAGTGAATACTAATAGTTTATATTTAATATAGATTTTAGAAACTTCTTTCTTTTTTTTATATAATAAAAAAAATTGTACACATTAATGTTTACAAAATATACAAAAAAATACAATATAGAAAAAAAGAATGACAATATCATGACAATATGAAAAATATTATAATCATATAAAAAATTAAATAGAAAATAAAATTGAAGCATAATTATTATTTCTTACCGCTTCAATTACTTAAAATTATAATTTATAAGAAAAAAAGATGCTTAAGAAAAATGTCGTATAGATTAAGTTTTAATGAGATACTAAAGTGTAAAAACATGTTGTGAAATAAACTAGAAAGTATAAGAAGCAGTCACGTGTAAAATCAAAGTGAAATCCGATTAATGCAAACAAAGATAAAACATAGACACTTATAAATGCTTATGTAATTAAAAATATGCGTAGCAATGTAGCACAAATAACACACACAAGAAATAAAAATTAATAAAACGTCGAAGTGAAATAAAAATATTTTGCTATATAATCGATGTTAAAAGTGTGTAATAAATTCATTGACCCACACTTCATACATTATCAGAGAACTAAATCCATTATATAACACTGATAAGAAATGCCGTCATAGTATTTTTGAATTTATATGCGTATATTATTGACGTGTGAATTCAATGATAAGAGTGTAAACAGATACACTTGACAGAAACAGCTAAAAGCCCATCAATCAAGATCGTCCTCCCACGTACATGAAACATATATATTGAGATACTTTGATGGAATAACCAACGAAAGTGAGATATCGTAACAAAATATGTTATTTACGTAACGTGAGTGATAAAGCCAAAGTTCAAGGCACAAGTAAATTGTACCCGTTATATCCTACATCGGCTGGTGGCAATTATTGTTATCTCTGAATCAACGATTTAACACTTTGTGCGGTTCAGTAGCCCAAATAACCGGTAATTTCATATATCCGTGATCTTCATTGTAGCAAGCTCGTTGAGTCAAGTTACAATCAATTATCACCAAGCCGATATCATACTTCCGGCCTACTTACCCTTTCTTCTTAAATTTCTTGCGACTATCGCTGTCGCTCTCGCGATTCGTGGCGAGTCTCTCAGGCTCCTTCCTAGAACGCCCGGATCTCCTGATGCCGTATATGTCAGGATTCTCGTCCCACTCGCGAGTAGGCTCATGCTTAACTCTAAGCTTTGTTTCTGTGCTGTGATTCGAGCTTTTGCTCTGGAAACTATCATTCTGTGCAGCAGGTGCGTCTGACTTCTCTGACTTTTCAGAATCAGAGCCTGATCCGGAACCGGAACCGCTCGAGGAGCTGGAGTCACTGCGTTAGCAGCCAGGGAATGTTTTATTTCACTAATTATGTACGAGTGATACATAGCACATCTCGAAATATACTTATTCAAAATAATTGCTAATATATTGTAGTCATAATAAGACTTTAGATATAAAATTATTAAATATAAATTTTTTTAAGTTTACTCGCTATTCATACATATTTCAGTAAATATATATATATATATTATATAATTATATATATTAAATATATATATAATTGAAGATTCTAATTCAAACTTGAACTTTTATTTTTCTTTACATGCGACAAGTACTAAACATATATTAATTTTAAATAATTTGATTTTTAATATATATTTCTTTGTACGCAAAATAGAAAGATAAAAATGTGACATAACATTTGTAATATAAAATAATATCTACACATATAAAAATTAATTACGCAATTATAAGAAAATAAAAGAAAATATTGTGCACTATGTCTGTTAACGTAATATTCAAATCATATACCAAAATAAAAATTTAAATAAAAAAATCAGAATAGGAGTAAACTATACATCATAATAATTTCATGTATATTTCAAGATGCCAATTGATGTAAACATAACAATTCTTAAAATATTCTATCATTTCACATATTGAGATTTATATCATATTGATAACTCGATATGAATTGAGAATATTGACTAAATGACTGTGAGAGAATGATATTACAGTTTAATTAGCACTGCAAAGATGATCTTTGAGTACATGGAAGCAAAACGTTATGACATAAATAAAATGTAAAATAAGAAAAGGGATTGTGCTCACAAAAACCCAAAATAGAATAAATATATATATAGTTAGCAAAATTGTTAAGACATTGTTAGTGCTATAAGAAGCTGTAGCAGTACACAAGTAGCCAATTATAAGTGGCACTAATCGTAATAAACCCTTACACATCAGAAAACCTGATATGCACTTGTGTTCAGTTCAATTTCTCTTATATACTCCGTCATGTATTGATACATTACATACTGTACGTATGCATGCTATGCTAAAACTGATACTTGTCTTAAAGATGTAACAATCAATCAACTTAATAAATATTGAAAAAAGCATAAATAACAGATCTATTCTCTAAAAAATAAAATTAAGCATTTGGAAAGCGATTATAAAAAAATACAAAATGTTTAAAATTTTAAACTCATTTAAACTTACAAATAAAAATATTCTTAAATATTTCATACGGTTGTAGAGCTTGAAAATTATAATCATATTAATGCAAGTTCGTGTATCAGGTCTCACGATTTTCAGGGGAATTGACGAGTTTTGCCTGTACCCACCTTTCTGATCCCGATCCCGAGCCGCTGTTGCTTCCGGAAGAAGAGCTATCGCTTTTACTCTCATTTTCAGAATCGGATCCGGATTCCTTACCGGATTCTGATTCTGTTTTCTGCAAGTCAAGCACATCAGCTAAATATAATTTCAGTTTTATCTCTACAGATATCGCGAGCCGTGTTGTTTGGAATAGTACGTTTTCTAATCGCAGTAACACCGATACTCTACACAATTTTCATCTAAAACCAGATTTTATTCTAAGTGAACGGTACAATTATGATATAATTGAGCAACAAGGGAAATCCGTAATCGAAGAAAGCAGCAGGACTTTCTTGCGCGTCTTTTTATTTCCTCAATCAGGTCGAATGCAGAATGCTAGCCGGTATAAGTGATCAGCTTGAAACCACTATCCTCCATTTTGTGAATCTGCTGTACGCCATTTTGTCTTCTTGTAAGTAACATCAGTTTCCTAAGAAACTTCGTTGAATAATGGCAATTGACTTGTGATTATAGAATTATTGCAGCTTAAATAGATGCGTTAAGAAAAAATTATACGCACAGTAGCATTTAGTGCGTCTTTTACATTAAATTCTATAAAAATCTCTTATTTTTCTTCATGTTTGAAGATCTGAAAGATTGAATACGGATGCAATACCTCCAATTCAAGTACATATTTCACATCCATTTATCGCAAAAATATCGCAGAGCTCGTTTTTAACGTTATTCACATGAAAGAAATCCATTTGGAAATATTTTACATACATATTTCTATAGTTTATAGGTGTGTGATAAAGATTTCCGCATTAAGAAATAAATAATAGAGATAGCCATTAAAGTAGTTTATATATTTATTAAATATTTCAACGATTACATATCTCAGTTATCCATTGCGGAGTAAGATATGTAAATGCATACAGAAATATATGTAATTAATAACCTTACACTATATTAGGCACTATTTCATTATAGTAAGTTACATGCTAATCTGTATCTTAAACTTTGAATGAATTCCATGAGCAAATCACAATTATGAGTTAGTCTTGAATCAATATTCTTCATATTATGTTAAATACTTTAATTAATATGTACTATTTCACAATCATCTAATAAATTAAAAGTACATTAATACCTGCTAATATTGCTGTACTCTTATCAATCCTAATATTAAACATAAAATTTATGTTCCATTAATCCTACTTTAATTCAAAGAAGCTATACTGTGTGAAGCTATGACATAAGGAACAAAGTAAAATTCTCATTTATAATCAGTATTATAAAGATTATTCCCATACACTTACAGAAATTGTACAAATTTTTTGCTCTCTTTCTGCTAACAAAAGGTAGCAATACATACTACATTTTTAACCCATCACCAGACACTGTAATTAAGCATTAAAACAATCTATACTGCAGACTGTAGCACTATTGACATCACACATCAATCGTCCTTAAAAATATGAAAGTATAAAATTTATATTCTCGTACAATACATTACATTATTTTATAATAATGTATATTATAATATTATATGATTAGTATGAGAATTTGAGCTCGAATATTGAAGAAACCAATTATTTATTCATTGCACATGTGTGCGCGTTCAATCTATTATTAATGCATTACAACAGTATAAAAGTATACTTTGTCGATTAAGAAAAGTAAAGTGTATAGATATAAGTAAGCATGGAGATGATAAAGCTTCAAAGTTATCATGGAGATACTACATTTATGTAATACTACTGCAAAATCTGATAAAGTTTACATCCATATAACAATGAAAACACACAAAAACTCTATCTCTCCCTATTGCATTAAATTTTTTCCCAAATTTTCTTAACACATTCTGTCTAATCTCATTACTATTTCAAAAATTACATGCAGTCTCAAAGAAACTAATAATTAAAATGTCTTTATTTGCTTCTAATATTATTCCCACAACACAAATTAAGACAAATTTGTTGTTAAGTTGAATCAAATGTATCATGATACAATGCAGTTTTATTTTATATTCGACACATGTTTTGTTATCGTAAAGAGTACATATGGGAATCATGGCATAATTTAATCCTAACCATGTAACAGATGCCAAAGAAATTCATGATTAACAAGATTCTGAATGGTGTGCACAATTTTACAGAATACAACAAAGGTTATATTCCCCTTGATAAATTCAATTACGTATGTCACACACCAAAATTGCAAAATTGCTATGGAAATTTCTATGAAGAACTTTTAAAGGGAAAAAAGCCTAGAAAATTTCTGGCATTACTCTGATAAAAATGCATCAAAATCGTGGCCATTTGTTGTAAGAATTACGTAGCACATTCCTGATCACCAGACATGAGTATACGCGACAATATTCGAGCTTAATTTGCAAAAATGGGTACATTTTAGATTTTCGAATAAGCGTGACGTCAGACCGAAGGAAAGTGTGAGGAATCGTTTGCGACGAAAATCAGGATGTTACAATGATATTTTCTGTGAAAAATGTCACGTTGACGCGATGTAAACAAACCTTATAGGTTATTGAGAGACTGGAAAAGTGTGTAAAGTTGTGGAAAATTCTGGAAAAGGAGGGACAAGTTCCTGAGCCCGGAAGGTCTGCGAGACCCCGCCCTACACGTGGAAACCCTTCGCGATAAATTTGCAAGGGTTTTTACGAATTTTTACGATATTTTCGTCGAACATCAGTCCGCCGAAACAAATGTGGCAATGCGATTTACATCTATTCCAAACAACCACGGCCGCACCACGCAATTCGCACGTTCGCATAAATGCACGTTAAGCGCATCGTTGACTCGTCAACGATGGAAAACATCGCGAAAAACCGCGGATATGCGGGTAAAATCGCGTCTCAAGTTCGGATAGCCCCGTAGTTGCACTCACCTGCATGGTTCCGTCTACGCGTCGCAACGACGACCCAGCGTATCCCGAGCACTCCGCGCAAAATCACGCTAATTTAATCGTAGCAGCGTCGCGCGTACACGTATTTGTGATATTGAACCACTATTGATGTTGGGGATCCAACATCGTGAGAAATTATCCAAGTATCGCGTACTGTATGGTCACAGACCTGAGAGCTAGACCGCCATTTTATGATCTCGACTGGTTCTTCGTCCCCCTCCCTCTACTTCTCGCACACCTTCCGTTCAAAGTCTCGTCATGCGACACATGCGCCATCTCGTTCTCTTCGATCCCGACCAATCTCCTCTTGCCGCAGCATAAAGATGTTGCGATGCAGCAGCGAGGATTGGATAAAAGTCGAAGAGGGAGACAAGATGGCGCATGCGCTACATAATCCAAAGCAATATGCGCGCGCGCGTACCATGTATACCGGAAAAACTGTTAATAAAATATGACTCACATTAGCAACTCTATTGCAATATAATGCCGCGATGAAAGAGCAAAATTGCCAAAAAAAAATTGTCATGTAATTTTTTCTGCATTAATTTACCGATTCGCGCACTACTACTTTACTCGGTTGGACGAATCGATATTGAACACGGACAGTAAAACGGAAATCGTTCGTCGGACAGCCATTTTGAGCAACCACGCGATTTTACCCAGAATGCTTGGCGTAGCGTCGCTTTTTCGATTACCTCGCGTACTTTATATGCGCAATAACGGGTAGAAAATGGCGCAGGTGCCAGTCTGAAAATATTCTTCGATACTGCAGAAAATTTTTCTTTAAATTTTCATGTATTTCAGGTAAAAACTGTTCCAAAAAAAATTTTAACAATACAAAAAGTCGCTTTAAATAGAAGTCAATTACGTCATAGGCACTTCGAAGAATATTTTCTCATTATTATTAAATTATTTATACGTATTATGCGATAATTCTACGCTTTGATTTTTTTTTGTAATTTTAGCATAGAAACGAGGAAAATTCAACGTTGATTCTATAATACAACAAACACATCAAATGATTTTAAAGAACAGATATATTACTGTAATATTAAATAAAGAAGACGGTTACGTAACAATCGTTGCGAAGAATTAATCGCATTTACGGTAAAATAATCTCGCCATCTAAATAATCGAGTCGCAGTAGAACATATTGTTCGTCTTTAATTTTTTGCAATTTTCGCAATAGTGGAAGACACGAATAAAATCCGACGAAAATAAGAAACGAGCAAAATTCGACAAGAATGATCAGAACAGAGTAAAATCCGACGAGAATGATCAGAGCCGAAAACCCGACGAGAATGAAAAGAGACCCGTGTTACAATGTTAAATACATACCGTACGATTTAACAAATTTTTCGAGGGCTCAGGAACTCGCGCTTAATTCTAGCACACATTCCTCATTAAGCAGGTAAAATCACACAATTGTCGGCGAAACGGAATGGATCGACATCTGGATGAATGGATTCTAGAAGGCTAAAGACGATGTCGCCATGCAAAGTACACGAGCGAAGACTGTAGAAATGGAGCACAGCAAGCGGGTTTTCCATTAGATATCGGGCAGGACGTTGCGATCGATGCTATTTCTCCCAGATTTCAACTAACTGCCGTGTCGCGACGTCGAAAAAACGACGTCAACTGAACGACGCACTACGCCCATTCCAATGGAAAGCCAGCACACTGTCTCGCAGTCGATGAAACTAACGTATTATGATGAGAATGAAAGACGAAAAATATTACCTATACGCCCGTGACACGCCGCACCGGAAAAGGACGAGTTGGTCGACGTTCCGCAGTATTTACGTCATCACGGCTTCCGGTCGATCTTGAATCTCGTTTCTCGTTTCTCTTCGAGATTTGGCGCACTTTTCAAAAGGCGCAATGGAGAGAAGAACTATTCCAGAAATGGCGAACCTTATGCTCATGTGCCAAAAAATTAAGTATA